AAAAAAAATTCATAATAAAAAAAACTATGTGGAAGAATATTATAAAAATTCACAGTATTTAAAAAAAAAACCACGAAGCTAAATTCTCAACTAACTCAATGTGAAAAAAAATAAAATCAACAAAAATAAAAAGAAAAAAAATCATCCAGAAAACACTGTAGCAATCTATAATATTTCATGAAAAAATATACAGTTGTAATTCTCAATTAATTTAATATTAAAAATAATAAAATCGATAAAGACAATTTAAAAAAATTATAACAAAAAACCATGTGGAAAAATACAGTAGCAATCTATAGTATTTAAAAAAACAACTACAAAGCTAAATTCTCAACCAACTCAATATGAAGAAAAACAATTGACATAAACAATTCTAGAAAAAAAATTAAAAAATCACCCATGTAGAGAAACATTGTAGCAATCCATAGTATTTTAAAAAAAAAACTACAAAATTAAATTTTAAAACAGCTCAATATTAAAAAAAATAAAATTAGCAAAAACTATTCTAAAAAAAAAAAGTAGGGAAAGTTAAAGATGAATTATCAACTAGTTTAATCTTAAAAAAAATAACAAAAATAATTGTAAAAAAAAACATGTGAGAAAACACTATAGTAAAACAAAAACCACGTAGAAAAATATTGTAATAATCCACAGTGTTTAAATAAAAAAAACTATAAATAAAAATTCTCAACCAACTCGATATGAAAAAAAAAAACAATAAAAACCATTTAAAAAAAATCATAAAAAAATTATATAGAAAAACATTATAATAATTCATAATGTTTTTTTAAAAAAAAAACTATAAAATTAAATTTATAAGCAATTCAATATTAAAAAAATTAACAAAAATAATTTTAAAAAAATATTAAAAAAAAAATAAAAAAACAATCTTGGAAAAAAAAGAAAAAAAGCATGCAAAACAAAATACAAAAAAAATAAACAAACAAAAAAACAAATAAATGAAAAAAAATGTAATATTGAGAAAATTACATTACTTTTCATGCACCTTTTAAAATATTAGTTAATGAAAAACATATATTATATTTCTAGATATATAAAATGCTAAATAAAGATTTTTTTGAGTTAGTTTCAAGAAAAATATGGATGTTATTCAAAATGTAAATTGATATTTTAATAATTTATAAAAAAAATTATATTTTTCTATAAATAATAAGTTATGTCTTTTATTTTTATATTATTGTTTATTAGACAAAAAAATTATATAAATTACATAACAATGAGCTAAAAATTTTGACCCAACAATTCTTTTTTTCTAAATAGAAATTTTGAAGATTTTTCGTTAAAGGTTCGTGTGAATTATTATTAGAAGCTATATAATTTGGTAACTTATGATTTATAATAATTTAACCTTTAAAACATTATTTAAAATCAAAAAATATTAGATTTTTAAATAATAAATTTTTAAATAACTTTAGATTTGTCTAACATAATCTTAAGAACTCTTAAATAATTTTTTTTTATTGTTTTCATTATGTGTATGACATTTAAAAAGCTAATAATAATATTAGAGTCATCATTAAATACTGTTTACATGTTTTAATTGTTATTTTTCGTTAAAGGTTCGTGTGAATTATTGTTAGAAGCTAGATAATTTAGTAACTTATGATTTATAACAATCTAACCTTTAAAATATTATTTAAAATAAAAAAATATTAAATTTTTAAATAACTTTAGATTTATCTAACATAATCTCAAGAACTCTCAAATAATTTTTTTTATTGTTTTCATTATGTGTATACATTTAAAAAGCTAATAGTAATATTAGAGTCATCATTAAATACTATTTACATGTTTTAATTGTGATTGATGCTAATTTAAAATTAATTTTATATATAAAAATTATTTTTTAAAATTTTTATTTTTCTATAGTGATTTTTTTTTAAAATTTTTATTTTTCTATAGTGATTTAAAAAAAAAAAATTGGCTGCTGTTACAGCATATTTAACATTGGTACACCAATACTTTTTCATCTAATTCTTTCTTAACTATTATTTCTTATTTCCATTATAATTCCTTAAAATTGCTTTCTCATTCTCAAAACATGTTTATTTTAAATTTCTCTAAATTTTTTATTTATTGAAACTCATTACCAATTTTGTGATAAATTTTAAATTATAATTATAATTCATGTAGGAACCTTTATACTTTTATATTTAATCATGAAACCATACTCACCGTTTCACATCATATTCTTTATTATTTATATCACTTACTGATTTCAAGTTTCTATTACTGGTAGATTTATATCTACACTAATTCCTACATTTGCGCATGGGTTTATATTTTCTATCGACGAGTCACAAGCACAAAAGTAACTGCCATTTCTTCATCATGGCAATAAATCCTATTTAAATAAAAATATCAGTATTAATAGCAAAACCAACCCGACAAAGTAAAATCATGGCTTAAGAGTAAGAAACTAACAGAGAAGAAAAATCATGAAAAAATAAATAAATCTAAAGCAATAAATAAAAAACAACAGAAAGAGATAAATTTGATTTACCTCTAGAAAGATTGAGAGCGTCGTTGGGTTTCGTTCTGGGTTATTGGTGTGGGTTTCATTGGAATGGGTTGCAGGCCGCTACTATGATGTGGAGGAGGAGGCTATTACCGTGTCTGTGGTGGTAGAGGATGGAGAGAAAGGTTTTTCGTGTGAGGGATTTGGTGATGGAAGGAGGAGATCGAGAGAGAATGAGAGAGTAGTGATTTGAACGACGGAGAGAGGTTGCTAGCTATGTATGGTTTTGTTGGATTTTAGGTGGAGGATTGGTGATCAAGAAAGAACGAAAGGGAAGTGAGAAAGGAGACGAGAAAATTGTGATTTGGGAGAGAGGGGGCGGGTTTGTGAGGACCAGGGAGAGGCCTAGTCTTAAGGTTTTCATCTATACTCGTTAACTTTTCATAGTAGAACCAATCCACAATTTTTTTTAGGATTTTCCAATCCAATAATTTTTTTCTCGATTTATTTTTTTTAGTTTTCTTAATTTAATTGATTTTTTTATTTTTTTTCTCACACCTACACTTAATTCATTTCAAATATTTATGTGCAAAATTTCATTTTGAAAACAAATCAAAATGCAACAAAGAAGGTAAAAGAATAGAACAAAGCATATATGCCTATAGATTTTGTTTTGACATTATTATTTTTTTCAGTGTAAAAATTAGTTTATTTAGCAAGTTGGTATTTTTCTTCTTATTTTTTTATTAAATTAAATTAAATAAAACATGTGTATTTTTTCACTGACTGGATTTTAAGGGAATCTCACATTGTATTTTTCACAATTTTATGTTTTTATTGATTCAAATTGTTTTAGTTTTTTTCAAGAGAATTTGACTTTATATTTTTTCATTACATCTCACATTTATTATATTTTTATGGATTAACAAAATTCGATAGATAAATCATGTGAAAACTTTTTTTATTGAAGCTTACAATATATAAAAGCATGGATAATAAACTTTTTTTTTTAAGTATACGGTGGTAATATTTAAAGCAATTTGTAAGGGGAAAACAACCATCTCACCATTAAACGAAGTGTGAGTTCGAGACATTCAATTTTGCCTACACATATACGTATTTAATTTATAAAATAAATAAATAAATAAAAGGTAAAAACAGATTTACCTGGCCCATTAGAGGCCAAGTTTCAAATTAGAGTCCAAACCCATTCCAAGACAAGATCCTAGAGAGAGATCACAAATCCGATGAACCTTGAAGGTGACGTGGCAGCAAAACAGAATTCAAACTCTGTCGACGAATTCTCACCACAGAGCGGTGCCCCATCTGCCATCTTACTTACGAAGCCGGAAGAAGATCATTATATATTATATTATAAAAAAAAAATGCAATTTTATTATTTGAAATATACTGTTCACGCTCTCGTAAAAATTAAAATTTTCATTCACAAAGCTTTTTTGGTCCTTGAAGTTTGCATGTTTTTCAATTTGATCACTTATGCTTTTTTTTTTTAAATGACATCCTTTAAAGTTGTGTTTTCTTTGTTTTACAAGTTCAAATTTGTTTTGCCCTTTCTTCTCTTGCTTTTTCTTTTTTTATGTGTATTTAAATATTTCAATGTTAAATTAGCGACTGATTTTATAAAATGCAATTTTAGCTTCCTTTAAAAATCAAATAAAGATATTGATGATGAAGATTAATATAGAAAAAAATAAGTCCATTTTCATAATTAGCGCCAGCAAAAATTCCATTCAACTACTGGAGTTTAATTTATTTTTTTCATTCTTATTCTTTTAAATTATTGTATTTTAGTTTTAAATTTAATTATTGTCATATTTCAATCACTAGACGTTGAGGGAGAGAGGGAAAGTAGTAAGAAAAGTTGAGAAGAGAGAACGATAGAGTACCCATTTGGAAATGTGATACACATGTGTTTTTAAAATTTTGATTTTTTTTTGTAAATTTTTTATATTTTTAAATTATTAATGTATTGATATTAAAAATAAAAAATATTATTTTAATATATTTTTAAATAAAAAATACTTTAAATCATAACTGTTATATAATCTCAAACAGTACATAAACTCAAAGAGAAGAGATAGATCATAAGCATAGTTTTATCAATTTTTGTGGTTCCTCGTCAAAACATTTTTCTAACTACACTATTTTCCAAAAAAAAAAATTGGAAAGTACTATTTTTCAAAAAAAAAATCCTCATTTTATCTTCTACTCTCATGAACACTTGATTATCCTCCTGTGATTTCTAAATCTGAGGTTCCCTCGTCAAAACATTTGCTTTCATCCCAAGCGTTGTCTTCGGTGAATCAATGGCATGCTTGTTCATCCCTTCTTCTTGCTTTTCCCTTAACCCCAGACAATCACTTCAGCCTCTCCTCCTCCCTTGATGATAATGGTTTGTGGATGGCGGTGAGGATGAGATAAAAGGTTCATGCGGAATTTTGGGTGTTGATTTCAGACTGTCGATCTTTGGTGATTTGTGATTTTAAAAGCCAAATCATGGTTGGTGATTGAGCTTTAAAAAAAAATATAATATATATATATAATAACAAAAATAAAGAAATAAAATTGTTTAGAAATCGAAGAAAAGATGAGGTTAGGTTAATTGATTTGAAACAGAAAGCGGAAATAAATTTATGGTTGTTTCAGAGAGAGAGAGAGATAAAACTAAGAGTTTTTCTAATTTTTAACTATTCATATCTTTTTATTTTTCTAAAATGTACTTTTCTTTAAATACCATACACATCTCAAATGTCAGGACTGCAATAACTGAACTAGTGTGTTTTTAGTATCTTGCTGTATATTACTTTTTAAAAATATTTTAAAAAATAAATCAAAATATTTTAAAGAAAAAATAATTTCTTTTATTTCAATATATTAAAATCATAAATCAAACACACAAAGAAAACATCAATTTAATTTTTTTTTTAAAACACAAACACTCAAATACAACGTCCTACCGAAGAAGCAAGGAAAAGCATCCAACTAATCAAACCTCCAACCATCCAACAAAGTCAACCTTCTGAGCCACTAATTTGAAACTTCAAATCATGTCTTCCAGTACATTATCATTTTCGAATCTAAAACATGGTACGAAGAACGGGAACAAAAATAGAAGGAAAAGAAAACAGAGAGCACGAAAGGAAACTGGAAAAAATAATCCCTCATTGGTCTCCAAATGTTGCATTCCCTGTACGGTTAATATTATAATGCAAAGATGAGCAGCGAAGGAGATTTGTTTGTTATCTCACAGTGGACAATAATTCTATTGCATCTGTGCGTGCATTTTCCCTCTTGCTTGTTAGGTTATTATATACATAAGTTTTCTTTAACAAAGATGCTGACAGGAATCAACAGCCTTTCCATTGTCAGGTGGATATGAACTATCAGCAACATTTTCCATTTCCATTTCCATTGCCACAGCCTCTCCATTTTTCATGTCATCATCTGCTCTCTCGACTTTCAATTTCTGTCAGAATATTTTACATTTCCATGAAAGTTGGAAAAATAATGCAATCATAAAATAATAGCATTTGACACCATTTCACAGCACTTCCTCCGAATGCTGGAAAAGCACCTCAAACGTTTCAGCTTTAAAATTTAAGGCGTGTTTGACATGGTTAGTGTCTTTTTTACCTTGGTTATGGCAGATGTTTGCCTTGTCATATCCGCAAACATGTTGGAATAGAGCTTTGCATCTCTCTTGTTACTTTCTGCTTGAAGTTGTTTCAATGTCTTCTGAATTAACTTCATCTCCCTGAAAAAGACAAGGAACACGCATGAGAAAATCTTAGCTATAAACGTATAAGAAAGTGCTATGTCCTCTAGTACCTGTTTTGAGGATCAACTTCAAGAGCTTTCTTAATGTCCATGTCAGCTGAGACCAAATCTGTAGTTTGGATCAGTGCTTGTGCCCGCCTGTAAAGGGCTTTTATGTTGTAGAACTCAATATCCAGTACCTATGATCAAAACACAGAATACAACATGTCATCTTGTCTTGTATCATCCCTATCTAGCCTTCTACAATGCTGAAGGCCGAGAGAATTTGCTCCTCTCTATCCATTTTAAATAGAAGCTTCATTCTTCAACCCATAACCAGTTAAAATGCGGAGATCATTTTTACTGAACACTGAACAGCCTAGAGTCATCATTTCATCAAGAGCAAGGGACATTTATAGCATCTAGCCATTGCCCCTTTCAATGAAATTGTGAAAATTCTGCATAGCAATTAGAACCCATTTCTCAGGGGTGCCAACTGAAAAACCGCCATCAAATTTCTACTCACTTGTAAAAGCATACGGGACTGGAATGACAAACTCGAGCATACATTTTTCCAACCCAGTAAATAACTTTTATATCTCAGAATTAACTTTAGAGATCCCATACCTCACACTTAATTCTTATGTCTATTATTTTATCATCAATTTTCCTCCTTCCAAATATAATCTCTCACTGAAAAACGATTTTTCAAGTAATATGATTTTTTAAATTTGACAGCATTTGGCAACTACTTTCCTTGATGCATCTTACCTTTGAACATAACTTGATTGCTCCCTGAAAATCATTAAGTTTGAGGCTACATGCTGCCTTGTTTAGCCAGCAAGTTACTCTCATTGCTGTAACCAGCTTTTGCTCATCATCCCCAAAAACTTCCTCTTCACCAACATAACTTGCAGCCTGATGGGATGGGACATGCAGTTAAAAATAAATCAAAATCTCTAGATCTGACCATAAGCAATGAAATATGGGAGAAATCAAGTGCTGAGCTACCTTATCATACTTTTTTCCAGCTCTTAGATACTTCCCACTTTTAAATAGCAGATTTCCTTCTTCTTTCTTTCTCTCAGCAGCCTTAATTTTCTCCTGATTATTCATCTCCCATGGTGTTTTCTCCTATTTGTTAGACAACAGAAAGTATTAAGTCAACAATCCTAAACCAGACAGTAAAAGGAGACTTTGGGGAGAAGGGATGCAGCTTAACAAATAGCCATCTGTGGTTTATCATGTCTTATTATATTGACAACAGAAAGTAGTATCTCAACTGTAGCTCTACAATACAATCACTTAACTGACTACCTTAATAAAATCTAACATTTCAACTTCATAGACTAAGCTTGATGATGGGGGTACAATAGCAAGATCCCTCTTTGTTTCAATGTTTCCAAAGCCGTATTCTGGCTTTACTGTTAATATTGCATGTTCCCCCTTCTTCATTGTTGCCACAGCTCGGTCTAAACCAGCGATCACTTGCTCTAGATACGGAAAATGCAATATTCTTCTATTAGCAATTCTCAGAAACAGTAAATGATATACCATAACGAAGAGATCACACCATATCAGAGTTAAACTAACCTTCATCTGTTATAAATTGCAAAGGCTGCCCATCATCAATTCCTTTTCTTTCA